TCCCAGTCCCCTGCAAATCCTAACACTTAGAAGGCTCCTGTATGCAAGAAGAGTCTCCTACACACTCCTACGTCAAAGAGTCCTACAGAGGAGTCTCCAGGAAATAGGAGTTCACAGTATGAAATAATAATGAATTAAAATCAGAAACATTGGGGGGACTGGGTGGCTCAGTCAGTTAAGCATCTGGCTCTTGATTCTGGCTCAGGTCATGATCTCATGGGTTGTGGGATCGAGCCCTGCATCTTGCTCTGTGCTCTGTGCAGAATCTGCTTGCCCCTCTCCCTCTGCTCCTCCCCAGCTCATTTTCTCTCTCCTCTTCTCTCTCAAATAATTAAAATCTTCAAAACAAAAATCAGAAATGTGATTAAAAAAAAAAATACCTAGACATTGAAGGATTTGTGAATGGTGTCCCTAGAATTGTGCAGTGCACAACTCCTACAACTTATGCATCAGCCCTGAGATTCTCCTCAGTCTTAATTATTACTCTGCATTGTGCTGGAAGGCCAAGAAAAGGCAGTAAGAGAAAAAAATATTTTTCTCTGTGTAAAGATGAGGGAGGCAAGAACAAAACTCTTTTACATATATAATATAGTTGTCTACCAGGAAGTTCCAACAGAATCAACTGATAGTTTTACAAGTATTAAGAGAATTCAGTAAAATGACCAGACAAAATATCAAAACACAAAATAGATTTTTGGGGCATCTGGGTGGCTCAGTCACTTAAACGTCCGATTTTTGGTTTTGGCTCAGGTCATGATCTCAGAGTCATGAGATCAAGCCCCATGTTGTGCTCAGTGAAGAGTCTGCTTGAGTTTCTCTCTCCATCTCCCTCTGCCCCTTCCCCCCCAACTCTCTCCCTAAAATAAATAAATAATTCTTAAAAAAAAAACACCAAACACAAAATAGATTTTGTATATGTCAGTAAAAAAATCAATTAGAAACAGTAAAGCTATAATAGAAATTGACTCTATAATATTTCCTATGATAGAATAGGAAATAAATTTTTTTTTAAAAAGTAGCAGCCCACATGTAAAAATTAGAATTTAGTACACAATAGAGGCAATGTTCAAATGACTAGGGAGAGGGCAAACTTAATTTGGAATATAGGACTAAAGGCCTATTTTTTTTTAGGTGATAAAGTTATTTAAAGAAACTATGCTAATACTTTATTATCATCATAATCTTAGGAGGTTGAGAAGGCTTCCCTACATAAGCTCCAAAAAACAAAATCCATAAAGGAGAAAATTAATAAATTCAACTAACTCAAAATAATAATAGCAATAACAATAACAGTAAATACTTCTGTTGACTAAAAACATGATGTAAACAAAGTTAAATAACAAGTCACAGACTTAGCAGGAATATTTATTATATGTATATCAAAGGATTAGCACCAAGAATAAATATTAGACTCCTATAAGTAAGTAGAAGAAAATAACCACATATAAAATGAGCTAAGAATATGAATGGGCAATTAAGAAGAGGAATTACAATGGCCAAGAATGATATAAAATGATGCCCGATTGCACTAGTTGTTATGGGCTGATGTGTGTCCCCCCCATTTCAGCATGTGACTATATCTCTAAGTGTATCTTTAAAGAGGTAATTAAGGGGCGCCTGGGTGGCTCAGTGGGTTAAAGCCTCTGCTTTCGGCTCAGGTCATGGTCTCAGGGTCCTGGGATCGAGCCCCGCATCGGGCTCTCTGCTCAGCAGGGAGCCTGCTTCCTCCTTTCTCTCTCTCTGCCTGCCTCTCTGCCTACTTGTGATCTCTGTCTGTCAAATAAATAAATAAAATCTTTTAAAAAAATAAAAAATAAAAAATAAAGAGGTAATTAAGTTCAAATGGAGTCATTAGGGTGGGCCCTAATCCCATATGACTGATGTCCATGTAAGAAGGAGAAATCTGGACACAAGGCAAGCCACCAGAACTGGGCTCTCACAGAAAGCCATGGGAGGACACAGCCAGACCTCAGAAGGAATGACACCTGCCAATCCCTGATCTTGGACTTTGAGCCTCCAGCACCGTGAGAATATAAGTGTCTGGAGTTTAAGCCCCCCAGCATGTGGTGTTTTGTTATGGCAGCTCTGCAAACTAACACATTAGTAATCAGGGACATTTACATATTTTACAAATGGGTTACTATTTTCACTCATCTCATCGGAAAAACAATAAATGTTTAATAGACAGCAAGCATCAGGGTGTGGGGAACATTAACTGTCATTCTCTGCTGGGGGGAGTATAAATTGTTGCAGTCACTGTGGAGGGCAATTTGATAACATTAAAATGCACATATTCTGAGGCGCCTGGCGGGCTCAGTCAGTTAAGCTTCCGATTCTCAATTGTGCCTGAGGCCATGATCTCAGGGTCCTGGGAGGAGTCCAACGTGGGGCTCCAAGCTGGGTCTGGAGCCTGCTTAAGAGTTTCTCCCTCTCCCTCTGCCCCTCCCCACCGAAAAATAAGTAGAAAACTTTGAAAAAAAAATAAAACGCACATATTCTATGTATAATCCACAAAATTATTGAGGTAGAGCTATATACAGAGATAGGAAGTCTCCATATGGAATATGGATATGTAAAGTTTGTTGGGTGGAAAACCAGAATGAGAATAATATGACAACAAACAGTTTGCTAGTACAGGTATGTATATGTGAATGCAGAGGATTGGCGATAAATGTACCAAACGGGTTATAGCAGTTACTTTTGGGGGACAGGGGACTGGCACTGGAAGAATGGCTTAAGGAGAATTTAGCTTTATCTATCCTGAAACATCATTTTACTTTTATTTATTTATTGTTTTGAGTTTTTATTTAAATTCTAGTCAGTTAACATACAGTGTAGTTTTAGGAGTAGAATTGAGGGATTCATCATTTGCATATAACCACCCAGTGCTCCTCACAACAAGTACCTTCCTTAATGCCCATCACCCATTTAACCCATCCCACGCCACCTCCCTCCTTCAACCCTCAGTTTGTTCTCTATAGTTAAAAGTCTGTTTTCTGGTTTGCCTCTCTCTTTCTTTTCTCGCCCCATGTTCATCTGTTTTGTTTCTTAAATTCCATGTGAATGAAATAATATGGCATTTGTCTTTCTCTGACTGACTTATTTTGCTTAGCATAATACTCTCTAGCTCCATCCACGTCATTGCAAATGGCAAGATTTCGTCTTTTTGATGGCTGAGTAATATTCCATTACACACACACACACACACACACACACACACACACACACACACCACATCTTCTTTATCCATTCATCAGTCAATACACATTTGGACTCTTTCCATAATTTGGCTGTTGTTGATAATGCTGCTATAAACATAGGGGTGCGTGTGTCCCTCCAAATCAGTATTTTTGTATCCTTTCAGTAAATACCTAGTATTTCAATTGCTGGGTTGTAAAGTAGTTCTATTTTTAACTTTTGGACCCATTATTTTACAAAAAGCACGTAATCAGGCTTCATCACTTTAAAAAGCTGTTACTTACTAACAATAGTTTAGTCAGTTTTGTGGTTGTTTATTATGTTTATTCCATAATAATTGAAGAAAAGTTGATAGCTTGAGACTAGGACTTGATAAACTTTTTCTGTAAAGGACCATATAGTTAAAATTTTAGGCTTTGGGGGCAATATTGTCTTTTTTGCAAGTACTCAATTCTGTTGTCCAAGGGCAAATGCAGCTGTAAATAATATGTCATTAATGAGCATGGCTGTGTTCTAATAAAATGTTATTTATAAGAACAGCTGGTGGCAGGGGTGCCTGTGTGGCTCAGTCGGTTAAGCATCAGTCCCTGGGTCCTGGGATTGAGCCACGCATCGGACTCTGCTTGGCTGGGAGCCTGCTTCTCCCTCTCCCATTCCCCCTGCTTGTGCTCTCTCTCTCTCTCTCTCTCTGTCAAATAAATAAATAAAATCTTAAAAAAAACCCCAAAACATCTAGTGGTTCACATTTGGCATGCACACCATAGTTTGCCAATACCTGGTTTAGATTTAAGTTTATTATATAACTTAAAGATATTTTCAAAAGTATATTGAAAATTATACTTAATAAGTATATGGAAAAATTAATCTTTCTTATGAACCAACTAATTAAATAAGTAGTAGCCTCTGGGGCCTTGCTTAGAACGTTCTGGACTCTGGCCATATCATTCAAGATCAAACACCCATCACAGTAGAAATAATCCAGTCACCTTGGCCACCTTGGTGCTGACCATTGACCTTCCCAGCACCAAAGTCACACAGCCATCCCGTGTGTGAGGAGTCTAGTGCCTGTCGCAGCTGACTCACTGAATCAGGGTTCAGCAGCCTCAGAGGTAACTCCTGACCATCCCTACATATGGTGTTACCTTCAAACACAGCTGCTGGGCTGCTATGTGGGGAGAAGGGTGGCACTGAGCTCACGTAGAAAAGGTTTTGTTCTGCGGGCCAGGCTGCCTACCCCAGCAAGTAAAGGTAGAACACTGACTGGGCCAAAGCCAACTCAGCCTGAGGGCTGGGGAGGGGTTTGGAAGAGCCTCTGAGGGACCCCTTGCAGAGGAGATCAGGCCCTGTGACTGTCCTGCAGCTGGGTCTCCGCCCTGGCCCCAAGGACTGAGAGGAACCAGGGCTGAGTTGCTCCCAGCCCCCACAGCCCCGCACCTGGATATTTTTCTGGATCAGGAGACTCCAACTCTGCAACAGAGAGGGGGCCTATTGTGTGTATGACTCATCGTGGCTGATATAAAATTGAGATTTCCACTGTGATTATTTCTTTAGGAGGCAAGTGCATGATCAGGAAGCATGGTTAATGGAATATTAATATTCCAACTCAATATTAAGTGATTATCTGTATGTTTTTTTCCATCCTAGAAAGCTGAACAGCTGTAAGGCCAATATGACCCTCTACAGTGTGGGCCTCAAATGTTAAGATATGTTTGCGTTCCCACCTTTTTTTTTTTTTTTTTGGCAGGGAGCTGGGGAGGCAATCTGCCCCCGGCAAAAGAGAAAGGAAGAAAGAAAACCCATACCTGCTTGGTGGCAACTTCTTTGCTGTGACTTCTCCTTTGGGGTCCGCTTTGAATAAGCAGGAACAAAGGATCAGGGAGAAGCTCGGCAGCCCTCAAGTCCTTACCTTGCTGAAGACTGAAGCATTACCTTCCTCTTTCGCTTGTTACTGTGGTGAACACTTTACCCCAGGGAGAGGCTGTGGCTCCTGCTAGAGTTCCGACCTAGGTTATTTCCCAGGATGTGAGCCAATCTTGTCTCTCACCTACATTTCAGTCCAGGTCAGACGTAGGCTGTAGGCTCCCTGTGGCCCCCATCTGGCACTCCTAAGTCCCAAGTCCAGAGCTCCAACTAGCAAATGAACTGATTACCGTATTTACTCTCATTACGTGCCCCCACTTTTTTCTCCAGTCTTCACTGTAAAACACTGGAGATGGGAGGTAGTGTTGCTAGTATGTGTTTGGTCTAACTGGTTCTGTGCATATTCATGCATCTGATGCTCTCTGTGCTGTGCCTCTGGGGCAAAGTTAATTCGAACCTAGGTCTCCTAACATATGTGTTCCTTTGTCTAAGCCACCTTCCTGGACAGTGTTACTTGACCAGATGATGAGCGAGGGCAGCATGTTCAGGTGAGAGAAGGCACACAGGGAGAGAGGAAGAGGGAGGGATGAAGGGGCTAAACCCATTGCAGGGGAGAGTGACCTGCAGCTCTAGTACTGGGACTGACAGCTGACCAGGAACCAGAGAATGGGTCCAAGGCCCTGTCCTCCTCCAGGCTGGCCAGGAACCAGCAGCCCCGCACCCTGCAGCTTGATCCTGCAGGTTCCCTGGGAGGAGCTTGATGGCTGTTCTAGCTCTTAAGGAAAAAGAATAGACAAAAGCAGTGGGTTTCCCAGGATATGTTTCTTCTACTTGCTTTGTTTTAAAAAATGTTTTATGGTAGGCGTGGAGAGTGGACTAGGTATGTTCTTCTGACAATAGTAGAGCTGGGTCTTGGGGGAAGGACAAAGGGAGGAAGAGGAGGAAGGGCGAGGGAAACTGATCAGTTAGATGGATAGGGATAAGAACTAGAGATTTCTAAACAATTATCATGGTCTTCTTGGGAAAATTTGGACTGCCTTACACATGTTTCTGATTTAAATTGTTTTTATCCTGAATTAGATATTTTCATCAAGCCCTCCTGATAAGAAAAGCAAGAATAAGTATGGTTTTCTTGCTTCTCAGCGAAACTGGTTTCTTCTCTTCCCTTCAATTTTCCTCTCCTGGATGTGAGGAGGACTGGAATCTAGGTCAACCTTTATCAAGTGGTTGTTCACCTTGCTCTCCTCATCCAAATGCAGAAATAAGATGGCACACGCGTCTCACTATTGGAGCTTCAGCTGCAGTGGTGACTGGGACCCATGGCCATGGGACTCCTTTCTGTCAGTCCAGTTTCTATCTGTCCAGAGGGGATTCTGCTAGGGCTGGGGAGCATTGGATTATAAATCCCACTAGTTGGGAGGTTGACTTGGGCCTCAGACAGGGAGGACCTAGAAGAGGTGAGATACTGGCTTGGGCTCCTGGGGGAAGCAGCCTGTCTAGGGTGCTCTGGGGGCTGTATTCTGGGCCTGGTGGCACCTCTGGTATCCTGCAAAGCTATGACCAACAGGTCATGACTACAGCCAGCGGTGGGAAGCCTGAAAAGAATAGGAACTCACTCCAGGAAACCTTTATTTCCAAGATTAAAAGTAGGTCTTTTGGGGAGTACAGAGACTGTTTAAGGCAGGAAAAACACTCTTGTATGATACTGTAATGGTGGATACATGTCATCAAACATTTCTCCAAATCCACAGAATGGACACCACCAAGAGTGAACTCTAATGTGGACTATAGACTTTGAGTCATTACGATGTGTCAATGTCGGTTCGCTGATTGCAATAAATGTACCATTCTCTGGGGCGTGTGGATAAGGGGCTGGCTGTGAGGCTGAGCGTATGCAGGGTCAGATAGCGTATGGGGAATGTCTCAACCTTCCTCTTTATTCTTCTGTGAACCTATAGCCACTCTGAAAAAAAAAAAAAAAGAAAGAAAGTAGATCTTTTGTAAAGATAGGCATTTCTGTGTCTAGAGGGAGAAAGGGCAGGATCCCAGCTCAGGTGGGTCAGCTTGCCAGAAGTCCTTGGGTTGTGGGCAAAATACACGGCTTTCATCATCATCTCAAATCTCTCCTGGCTCACAAGGGCCTGGCCTTATCTCACTTATAAAAATGGTGAATTATTTACAGCAGCAACAGGGAAATAAGAACAGGTCCTAAAATCACTGAGGCAAAGAAACTCTTCTCAGGTTTCTGCAGGAATCTTCTGGGGGCTCTTGTGAGCTCGTGCACCAGCAGGCGGGAGGAAGCCTACAGGAGGGCTAGGCCTCTGCCCACCTGAGAGCGCGGCCTCGACAGGAGGCAGCCTCGAAGCTACGAGAACAGCTGGAAAAGACACGGTAGTTAGTAAGGGCAGCAGACGGATGCCCCGATGCCAGCGTTGAGGGACTTCGTGAGCCCCAAGCACAGCTGGCAAGTAGGAGAAATTCGGTCCCTGCCTTCCGCTCTGCATGGGGTCTGTGGCAGACCCCAGAAAGGCCGAGCTGCTGAGCCGCTCATAGGGGAGAGCAGATCAGAGAAGCCTAGGGAGTTTCTACGGGGTGAATTCACAGAATGCGTCACCAGGTCAAGGAATCTTTATATTTAGAAAGAACAACAGAGCAAGGCTGCTCAAGGGGTATTGCCCTAGCGGTGGAGTGTGGGGAGAACAGGTGTGTACCAGCCAGTCACGTGGTCCCCCTCAAGCTCTCTTTGGACTCCTCTGGGGTGCGCTCAGGTGGTTGGTGAAAAGCTGAGGGTCTTCTCAGGTCTTTTTTTGAGCATGTGTCCTGTCCCGGGCAAGCGGGTTACCTTCTAAATCTTTCTTTGTTGTGGGCTTTGTTATTTCTCCTCTTGCATTTCTGGTTTTGTTAGAGCCATCTTTCTCTCTCCTTTTTGAGGCATCTGGCTGAAGGTTTATCAATTTTGTTTAACTTTTAAAAGAGGTAGCTCCTGTTTCCATTGATCTGTACTTTTATTTCTGTTTTTGTTTTTGTTTTCGGCTCTGATATTTATTATTTCTTTCCTTCTGCTGGTTTTGGATTTTGTTCTTTTTCTCCTTTAGGGATAAGCTTAGGTTGTTGGAGATTTTTCTAGCTATTGCTATAAACATCCCTCTTAAAAATAATTTTTTTAATTTAAATTCTAGTTAACATACAGTGTAATACTAGTTTTAGGAGTACAATGCAGTAACTCATCACTTCATACAACACAAGGTGTTCATCATAACAGGAGCACTCCTTCAAGCCCAATTACCTATTTAAGCCATCCTCCCACCAACCTCCCTTCTTGTAACTACAGTAAACTAGCAAAGGGGAAAGAAAGAGGGAGAGGCAAACCAAGAAATAGACTCTTAACTAGAGAGTAAAATTCCCTCTCAGAACTTCCTTTGCTGCATCCCAAAGATTTTGGACTGTTGTGTTTTCATTTTTATTTGTCTCCATGTATTTTTTTTAAATTTTTATTAAATTTAAAAAAAATTTTTATAAACATATAATGAATTTTTATCCCCAGGGGTACAGGTCTGTGAATTGCAAGGTTTACACACTTCACAGCACTCACCATAGCACATACCCTCCCCAATGTCCATAACCCCACCCCCCTCTCCCGACCCCCTTCGCCCCAGTGACCCTCAGTTTGTTTTGTGAGATTAAGAGTCACTTATGGTTTGTCTCCCTCCTGATCCCATCTTGTTTCATTTATTCTTTTCCTACCCCCCAAACCCCCCACTTTGCATCTCCACTTCCTCATATCAGGGAGATCATATGATAGTTGTCTTTCTCCGATTGACTTATTTCGCTAAGCATAATACCCTCTAGTTCCGCCACGTCTTCGCAAAAGGCAAGATTTCATTTCTTTTGATGGCTGCATAGTATTCCATTGTGTATATATATACCACATCTTCTTTATCTATTCATCTGTTGATGGACATCTAGGTTTTTTCCATAGTTTGGCTATTGTGGACATTGCTGCTATAAACATTTGGGTGCACGTGCCCCTTCGGATTACTACGTTTGTATCTTTAGGGTAAATACCCAGTAGTGCAATTGCTGGGTCATAGGGTAGTTCTATTTTCAACGTTTTGAGGAACCTCCATGCTGTTTTCCAGAGTGGTTGCACCAGCTTGCATTCCCACCAACAGTGTAGGAGGGTTCCCCTTTCTCTGGATCCTCGCCAGCATCTGTCATTTCCTGACTTGTTAATTTTAGCCATTCTGACTGCTGTGAGGTGGTATCTCATTGTGTTTTTTTTTTTTTAATTTTATTTTTTATAAACATATAATATATTTTTATCCCCAGGGGTACAGGTCTGTGAATCGCCTGGTTTACACACTTCATAGCACTCACCATAGCACATAGCCTCCCTAGTGTCCATAACCCCACCCCCCTTCTCCCAACCCCCTCCCCCCATCAACCCTCAGTTTGTTTTGTGAGATTAAGAGTCACTTATGGTTTTGATTTGTATTTCCCTGATGCCGAGTGATGTGGAGCATTTTTTCTTGTGTCTGTTGGCCATTTGGATGTCTTCTTTGCAGAAATGTCTGTTCATGTCCTCTGCCCATTTCTTGATTGAATTATTTGTTCTTGGGTGTTGAGTTTGTTAAGCTCTTTATAGATTTTGGATACTAGCTGTTTATCTGATATGTTGTTTGCAAATATCTTCTCCCATTCTGTCAGTTGTCTTTTGGTTTTGTTAGCTGTTTCCTTTGCAGTGCAAAAGCTTTTGATCTTGATGAAATCCTAATAGTTCATTTTTGCCCTTGCTTCCCTTGCCATTGGCGATGTTCCTAGGAAGAAGTTGCTGCGGCTGAGGTCGAAGAGGTTGCTGCCTGTGTTCTCCTCAAGGATTTTGATGGATTCCTTTCTCACATTGAGTTCCTTCATCCATTTTGAGTCTATTTTCGTGTGTGGTGTAAAGAAATAGTCCAGTTTCATTTTTCTGCATGTGGCTGTCCAATTTTCCCAACACCATTTGTTGAAGAGGCTGTCTTTTTTCCATTGGACATTCTTTCCTGCTTTGTCGAAGATTAGTTGACCATAGAGTTGAAGGTCTATTTCTGGGCTCTCTATTCTGTTCCATTGATCTATGTGTCTGTTTTTGTGCCAGTACCATACTGTCTTGATGATGACAACTTTGTAATAGAGCTTGAAGTCCGGAATTGTGATGCCACCAACTTTGGCTTTCTTTTTCAATATTCCTCTGGCTATTCG